TCTTTCAAAGATTTATCAATATTTTATGATTGCTTAGTATTGTTATTATGCAACTTTTCTTTGAGCTATCATCCACTGGTGGCAAGCTTATCGTCTCAAGTGATGGTGTTTGGGACGCTTTATCTGCCGAAACAGCTTTCGAGTGCTGTCGAGGAATGCCAGCTGATGCTGCAGGTTCACAGATTGTCAATGTAACATTTTTTTACATTATTTTAACTTGTTTCTTCTCCTTTTCTTTTCATTTTTACATCGTAATTTATATTTGTTCTGTTTCTTGCAAGAAGCTGTACCGGTTAAGGGTCTTCGAGACGACATGACTTGTATTGTTGTGGATATCGAATGTGATTATTTATGTAATGCGTTATTTCTTACAATGTGATTATTGTTCCTTTAATATACATGTTTGGATTAATTTTCCTGGTAGAATCTAATTATTTTTTACAGTAAACAATTTCCATCAACTTTACTTACATTCTGCAGTTTTTTATGAATTCATTTTCTTTTTGCTTTGTATTGACGATTAAATGTCATTGCAGGAGTTGTCATCGAGTCTTTCTTCCCACTACGAGTTCTCATTCCATTTCGTAGCAATGATAACAATTGTTGTTCTGAAATCGTGTGGGAATATGTGAGGCCCGTCCAGACCGAGAAATTGCATGAGTTGACGCCGAATATCGGGAAATCGGTCGAGAATCTTTCAGTAGGACTTGATATGCTCGGTAAAGTAGTGGATGTTTTTTCTGAGATTGTTATTACAGGTCGTGATGCCCTGCTTTCTGAACTTAGGGCGAGGTCCGATGTTTTTGATGTCGGAGGAACTAATGATAATAAAGTTGGAGGTATGATGATTAGGTAAGAAATTCGCTCCTTTGTGAACAAAGTGTGTGTTTTAGAAGGACTGTTATGTTTTTGGTTTAGATATATGCAGAAAATGAAAGGAATGGAACATTTGGGGGAAAAATATCCCTATGTGTCATATTCTTATTTCAACATAATGAACAAAATACAGAGTTTTTGGTTTTTTATAGTTGACACAAAAAAAGGAAAGAAAAATACTACTAAACTAATAAGATACCTCAACAACTATATTAAAGGAAAATATTAAAGGGAAAACCTATACAGTCTACAGTATATAAAGGTGTGTGTTAATTTAGATAGATTTGAGAGTTGTATGATGTCAGTTTTGATGTAATTAATATATTAATAAAGTTTTGAGAGTTGACCACTTATTGTATGTCTATTGATGATATATTAATATGAAGCTTCTAAAATTGATCTTTTTTTTTGTATGACTGGTAAGTTTCTTGATTGGCACATTTTGTTTTTGTCTGTATCTCATGGGGTGAGAAGACAGTTGCTCAAGGTCTGGATGCACAATAACAGCACACTCTCGGTAAGAAAACAACAACCTAGCTAGCTAGCTATTTTCGAGAAAAATTCTTCAGATTTGATTCTTCTTAATCGTTTGTTTATTCTATGTGGGGGACTTGTTTTAATCTTATGTTTCGATTATGTTGTTGTTATGTTTGTTTTTAGTTTGTGGTTTTTTTGGAGGACATGCACACACCGACACACGTGCAGATTTCTGGGGGCATAATTGTTTATGGGGGTTTGAGTAGTTTTTCAATCTGAAGTGGAAATTACTAATTAATTAGGGTTAGTTGTTCTTGCTTTGTTATATTGTTGCGTTTGATTTATGGTTTTCAGATGCTTGCTTTCGTGAACCTGAAATGTTGATTTGATCCATGGCTGCTACTAGCATAATCTGTGATATAACCATACTATCATAGAGCGATTTATGTTGTCCTAGCTCGGACATCGTCGAGTCGACTCACTCGAAGTCGACTCCACCCGCATGCCTCCTCGTGATAATACGTTCGGTCGAAGGTCCAGATGCTTTTCTTAGTCGACTTCCACCATGTCGACTAACCTAAGTCGATTCCGTTTGGAAGGATGAATAAGTATGAGGATCTACTAGTGATTGGGGAATGACCCAGCCGGCTCGAATACAAGAATATCTCGAAGTCGACTGAGGTAATCTCAGAGTTCATGGACCCCTGACGACTCCAATACACTTCAATACATCAGAGGGAAGCTATTAAAGGATAAGGAAGAATCTAGATGCTGACTAGGAGGTGAACAGAATGTGAACCGACCAGGGTATTTTGGACATTTCCAGTAAGTCGGCCAGGGCATTTTGGGGACTTCAGATAGATGTTTTACTTCTATATAAAGGAGTTGAGGTAACCCCAAAACCCTAACACCCATTCATTCTACATTCTTCTCCATTACTGCTGCTACTCTCTCAGAGCAGCTCTCTTCATCTCTTTCACATACTGACTTGAGCGTCGGAGGCTCTACGCCGGAAACCCCTCCGGCGTTGAGTTCTTGCAGGTGTTCTCGTGGTTCAGCAACGGTTTGGAGGCTATCGAGTCAGATCTGAGCTCGTTCCCATCGGTTCATTCCAGATCTGGGCGGTTTCTCATCGGCTCATTCCAGATCTGAGAGAAGACCCATCAATCTGCTTTTGGCAAAACACTGGATCCATGGCTCTTTGCGGAGAAATGAAACCAAAACACGAACTAATTAGTCAAACATAAGACTATGTTGTACTACCTCCTATTTTTAATATATGTCGTTTTGAG